TTCGCAAAATTATAACAGAGATAGGAATAGTCAACAATTCAGACAAGCTAATTTCCGAAATAATAATCGTCAGTTTGTTGATAATCGACCCAATGCATCTAATTACAAACCTCATAGTTTTCAACAAATTGGAAATAAATCTAACAGCAATATCAACAACGGAAAGAAAGTTGTAAGTCACCATACTAATAGTAATTTTGACGGTATAGCCCCATCACCTTGTAGAATATGTACCAAAAAAGGGATACCAAATTGTTATCACTGGGCTCAAATCTGCCCATTCCGAAATGAGAACAACGAAACTGAAACTAATTCTAATGTGGGAAACAAAAATTCGGGGTCTGATTCTTCGGGAATTTGACAACTAAGAATTAAGGGATTTTTATGCCATGGCAGATCAGTCGACTGTGTCGTGGACACTGGCACGACATTGTCTATCATCTCAGAAAAATCTGCAAACAATTTACAGTTAAAAATTCAAAAGGTAAAAGGTATTAAAATTAGGCAAACTAAAGGAAATTTTTCTATTGATAAATCTAAGATCAAGGTTTTGGCACATTCCTATTCACCCTGATGACACCGAAAAATTGGCTTTTATTACAAATTTTGGACTGTATGAATGGCTAAGACTCCCTTTTGGCTTCAAAAATGCACCGGCTATCTTTAACAGAGTTATTAAACGCATCCTCACTAAAAATAAAATCCAATTTACTTGTGTGTGAGCCCACCAGCGGCCGAGCGGTAAAGTCACTGAACACTGGTAGTTCGGTCCGAGGTTCGGATCCCGCGAACGGGCTGGCTGCATGGGTGTTTTCGTGGTTTTCCCCATGTGTAACGTGTATACGAGCCAGTATCCCTTAGAAAGTCCTCCACAAAGGCATTCCTCCCCTTAGGCAGATAGCCCTAGTGCGCTTTTCCATAATTAAATACACCACACCAATTTGCTTGTAGTTATTTTGATGACATAATTGTTTACTCTTCTTCCAAAGAACAACATCTAAAGCATTTGAGTGAATTATTTGAAATATTTATTCAAGAAGGTATTAAATTGAACCAGAGTAAATGTGTCTTTGCCAAAGATAAAATTAATTTTCTAGGTTATGAAATTAGAAAGGGTAAAGTTACCCCAGATAACCAAAATATTGAAAGTATTAAAAATTTGAAATATCCAAGTAATGTAAAAGAAGTACAAAGAGTGTTAGGCAGTGTAAATGTTTATCATAGATTCATACCTAATTATGCTAAATTAAGATATCCTCTAAATAAATTATTGAAAAAAGATGTATCATGGCATTGGGATGATCAATGTCAAACTGCTTTTGACGAACTGAAAAATATTCTTATTTCAAAACCAGTCTTACAATTCTATGATCCAAATAAACCTTGTCATGTTTTTGTTGGTACATCACAGATTGCTGTGGGAGTTGTTTTGAAGCAGCCAGACGAAAGTAATGTATTACATCCGTAGTTTTCCTACCATTCTAGAGCTTTAAAAGATTACGAAAAAAGTTATGCAATTACAGAACTTGAATGTTTAGCTATTGTTGATGCATTAGATAAATTTTATTACTATCTTCACGGTCAAAAATTTACAATCCATACCGATTATGCAGTCCTTGTTTGGCTTAAAAATGTTAAGAATTTAAGAGGTAGATTATTCCGTTGGTCACTCCGACTCAGTATGTTTGATTAGGAAGTTAAATATCAAAAAGGCTCTACAAACGTTTAAGCTGATAAGCTTTCTAGACAACCTGTTTCTCACCAGTCCAACATTCTGTGTATTTACTTAATCGTGATGAAATTATACAACAGCAAAAAAAGTGACAATTTGTGTGATAAAAAATATGTAGAACTAAATGATTTGATGGTAATTAAGAAGAAAAAAGGTTATAAAATTGTGGTACCAAAATCCTTAAGATTAAAATTATTAATGAAACTCATGAAAATTCGGACACCCAGGTATTCTTGCTATGTTAAATTTAATCACCCCCACAATATTATTGGCCCTACATTAGTAAAGATATTGGAAATTTCGTGAAACATTGCCATGTTTGTCAATTAATAAAAAGAAAAAACCAAAAAAATTTGGACTTATGCAAGAAGTACTCTCAACTGATAAACCTTTTGAATGTCTTTCTATTGATACAGTCGGCGGTTTTAATTATTATAATTCTACAAAAAAATATTTACATCTTGTGATCGATCATGCCACAAGATATGCCTGGGCTTTTCCATCTAAAAGTGCAACTAATGCTAATATTTTGAAACAAATTTTCCAAATTCAAGTCCCCGAAAAGATCCTTAGTGACCGCAATGCCACATTCACCTGCGATAGATTCAGAAAATTTCTTAGAAATTATAATGTAAAACAACTTCTAACTACTGCCCATCACCCCCAGACAAATGGTAAAGTAGAGCGTGTGAACCAAACCCTAGTAACCCTTTTAAGATGTAAAGTAAATTCTAGATCATCGAAAATTCCATGGCCGAAAATTTTGGATCAAGTTATTAGTGAATATAATAATTCCCCTCATTCGGTAACTAAATTCACCCCTGCATATCTTTTACTCGGAAAACTTCCTTTCGATTCTCCCCTAGATCAAAATACTTACCCTCCGGTTGACATAGCGAGAAAATTAGCTAAAGAGAGAACTATTGAATATCATAAAAGGAATAAAAGTCGTTATGACACAAAATTTGCAGATGTAGAATTTAACCTGGTGATCTAGTTTTTATTTGATGAATTTTGAATTTCCGAATACACGTAAATTGACAGCTCCCTATTCTGGACCATACCAAATTGTCAAAAATTATCTGAGGTTAATTATGAAATTGATAAAAAGAATTACCACACAAAGAAACCTACTGATATTGTCCATGTTTCCAGACTACGACACTACCAAGACCCAGAAAATTTTAAACTACATCACTAATAGGTAGACATACCTTCCTTTTGGTAAACGCTCAACTGGGATTGCTACTAAAGGTAATTAGAGCACCTCTAATTATTTTATGTCTAATTTTTTGTGCTGTAAATTTTTGGTGTGTTGTTTTGTATCTTTGTATTTAATTTTTATTTATGTGTCAATATTTTTGGCAATGACATTATTCGTAATTATAAAATACTATTGAAGTTGAAAGTTGTGTTGAGAACGACAATGCAGTATATGACATAATTGTCATTGTCGATAGTAAAAGGTAAAATACGAGTAAAATTATTGTGTAAAATGATTATTATCAAATAAGTGTTTTATATGAATAAGTAGTCAAAATAAAATACTGTAAACAAACTTAAAGTCAAAAGGAAATGTTAAGAAATTAGTCAAGTATTGCAATTGTCAATGATATGAAGAAAAAATAGAGGAATACCTCACCTCAAATAGAAATTTTTAATATTAAAGCCACGGCGAACTGGAAATGAAAAGATTTGTAAAATAAGAACTGCTCTAATGTTTTGCAGCAATCTCTAAAGACCTGGATCCAGAACTGAAATTATTCTCGAGAAATGTTTTTCCCAATACTGCATGCATAATGTTTTTTTCTTTATTTTCTATAAATGTCAATATATTAAGATATATTATTTACAATTATATATTGATATTATTATTGACTGTGTTATAGTGAGAGTGTCTATTTAAGATTAATATTATTGTAACTCGAATTCTGGATGCGAGTTCTCTTCAAACAAATTAAGCAATTATTTTAAAATAATTTTTCTAGCTGTTGTCGCGTTTTTTTTTTTTTTTTTTTTTTTTTTTTTTCACACTATCTGGAATGTCTTGTGGTCGAGGCGCCCGGCTTCAAGCCTTTTCAGATGGGGGGAATATTTTGTAATAAAATTCCATAGTCAAGAATACACTTAAAATTCTAACTGTATGTTCTTTTCATTTTTAATGGCGACGGTCTCTTATTTGAAAGTACGGTGGAATTAAATCCACAGCCCCGTAGTCAAGTTGTTTTTCCGCCTTTTCTACACGTACAGTTATAGAATGTTCTGGAAATGTTTTAAAGCGAACTGGATTGGCTGGACGAGGCTGGACGTCATTTCTTGGGAAGCTCCGCCTTTCCAGAGGCTATAAAAGACTCGCAAAAGGAAATGTTCGGGGCTTTTCTTTAATGTCACGATGCAGTAAACTTCATACAAAAAAAAGTTATTAGTCTTTTTTATTACTCCGGAGATCTTAATTTTTGTAACTGCTATTTTCTACTGAAGTAATAATAAATGGATCCTATTTTTAAACTTATCGTCTGATAATTTAAGCTACGACTACATCTATGATTCTTCACCAATCTGTTTATTCCGGACAAAAGCTGGTACATCACATATATATAGTCTCTGCATTATTTAATAAAACAAAGATTATAATAAAAAAATTCATGAAGAAAATAACTGTTTTTCTTTCAGATAAGCGCTTTCAAATTTAAAATTTATAGTCAGGAATTCGGGGTTCTTTTTACGGCATAAAATTATATTAAGTCAAAAAAAATTATTAAAATATTATTTTGTTTTATGCAGTTAAACAGTTTTTAGAAGCTATTTTCTGTACATTGAACTTTTACTGTAGACGTTAGATTAAAAATAAATCATTTCAAAATAAATTCACAATACAAAATTATAATTATGATATTTTTTTAACAAATGGCGGGCACTTGCCTATAATGGCATGTTTGTGTTATGTAATTTACTTTGAATTTATTTTAGCTTTATGAACAGCAAAACTTTTATAAAAATAAGGAAGGAAAAGAAATAAATCAATGTGCATGATAATAGCTTTTAAATCTTGAAGTTTTAAACATAATTCTTTTAAAGATAAATTTAAATACAGGTACATATATGGGGAGGGTGAGGATTAACTTTGTTGCAGTACAATTTGCTAAAAATTAAGTTTTCTGTGAATTCAAAGACATCTTTCAGTGAAAGTTTTATTAATATCGAGAGGAAGTTTAATTAGATATTCTATTGTGTTATGTTATAGATGTTTTCTCTTTCTAAAATGCAGCTTTATAAGTGCGCTCTGACAGATAACTTGACGAAGCTAGCTGACCGAGAAATCGATTTGCTTCTAAGAGGAATAAAAAGTATCCATTTGGAAGGCTTAAGATCCAGGATTCGAAGTTTATTTTGGCAGTATGCAAAGCAGCCTTCATTTAATCCAGAAATGCAAAGGCTTTCGAAAGTAAGAAATGATATTCAATGTTAATTCAGCTACTTTTGTATTACACATAATTATAATTTTTATTTTCACCAAATCAAATGACAGATGATTTGGGAAGTCAGTTTTATTTTAGTTTGCATACATCCCTTGTAAATTATGTAAATATGTATATTTTGTGTATATGTCCTTTAGTTTTACCTGGTTATTATGTGTAATGTGCGTAATTATTTTATTACACTTTAGAATGTGAAATTCATTGTAGATAACTACAGTATTTTATAAATAACCCCAGTAGAATTTAAGGCATCACCCTCTGAAACCTGGCTTAGTTTGGTCACTAAACTGAATGTCCGCTTTGCGATTGGAGAAATACTGCTAAATTATTATTATTATTTTTTTTTTGGAAAGTCCCTTCGGGGGAGGAAGCCTTTATTTGTAAGCTGCAAAATTTAATAAAAGGATCTTTTTAAATAATTCCAGAAATATCCTGCGTATTCACAGAACTCCTAGACGCCAGTAATATGCAATATATGCACACACATAGCTGGGATATTTGGTCAAGCTGATATTGCCTTATGTTATGATAAATATCATAACTTACAAAATCAATACAAAGTGCAAGTTAACTTTTGTATTAAATAAAACAAAACTGGTTGTGTTTTAAAAATCTACCTTGCAAGTATTATGGAAGCAGAATTGCAAATAACGCATCAGACAAGCAAGTTCTCAGGGATGAATAAAACAAATTGAAAGCAAGAGTCACTGTGTTTTTAATAGTGTCGAAAAATAATGAGTAGTCCAGAACTTGCAGTATGTTCCCTGTTTTCAAATTATGTTCATGCACTTATTATTTCAGTATTCACACGAGTTAAATGCTATGTCGGTGATGTATATTATGTACTCATATGAGCTATGTGTCGTCGCCATTTCTGTGGTCTCCCGTTGAAACAAAAGAAGGTACAAGTTCTTTCAAAACTACGTTATTTTTATATATTCTTACGCGGAAACGGATTTCCTACTTTTTTATGTAATTTTTATTGCACTGAATGTAATAGTATTCTTATTTCAGCTTAATAACTTACTACTTCGTGCATTTAGTGTGGGGTTACGATAGGAAGAACCGGTCGTTCTCTCTCTTGGAAGAATAGCCTCGAAGGGTACAGTTGTGGTTCCCCTACGTACTGAAAGGCAAATTTCAATCAAAGAATTTAAATTTGGAGAAGTAATGCTTCAAAGCCACAGCAGCGGAGGAAAACTGAGTAGAAAATGTGTAAGTCGTCAAGAAACTTTACGGCGTAAAGAAAGGCCTTGAAATTATATGAATGCTATCCGAAACCGCTAGCAACATCTGAGAACCTGCCAGAGCGCTGTATCGAATAATTAAAAAACGTGAATTCTTTACATAAACATTTAATTTTTAAGTTTCCAGCTCTAATTTAATTAAAAATATGTTTCGTGACCTGAGAAGGTAATAAAAATATCTCATGTAATGAAAGACTAAATTGGAAATTCTCATTGAAACATTTTATTAAAATTATAACATAGACTAATAAAGAAATCAGAAACATTTGAAAGTATTTCAGTATGAAGTTTTCTTGTGCAATGCAGATTCTCTGCCTTATTTTTAAGAATCAATGGCTGCTCAAAATTTCTAAAAGGCAAACTTCATCAAATCCCTGAATTTTCAACATAGTAATAATGCTAGCCACAAAATAGACAACCCTAAAACCCTTCTCCCGATGAAAACAAAATAACATCTAGCAGAAGCAGTTACAAATTTACTCCTATCTTAAAAACTTAAATCTTCTTCCGAAATAGTTAAAAACACTAATCCCAATAAAAGTTTTATCGCAACCGTTTATTTTAAGGGACATATCACCGAATACAAATTTATCACAACCACTTATCTTGCCCAAAATTAAGGGAGCTCGGAAACATATTCGAAACCACTAAAGTATTTTAATTAGCATTTCTCATTAATAACAACTTGCTGCCTATGTCTTTCTTTGATTGCATTCCCGACGCTCCGACAGTTGAGAGGCAAGAAGTGCCTCTTCCGCCGTTCACCTAAAACTAAGTAGTCAAGGACGCGATCAGTTTTGGGGAGAATAATAAGAAAAATACAATGAGGAATTTATTAAGTATGGTTTTACATTTTGTGTTGTTGATGATGAAGAACGCCCGATATGTGTCATTTGCAACGAAAAATTAGCAAATGAGAGCATGAAACCAGCTAAATTAAAAAGGCACCTGGAAACTAAACATAAAGAACTTCAAAATAAACATGCCGATTTTTTTCAAAGACGAGTTGAAAATCTGAAAATTCAAAGTGCACATTTAAAGAAATTTACAACAATACCTCAGAAAGCATTACGAGCTTCTTTAGAAGTTTCTTATCTAATAGGAAAAAAACAATGAAACCCCATACAATTGGAGAATCCCTTATCCTTCCTGCAGCAACTAAGATGACATCAATTATGCATGGCGATAAATATGGAAATGAACTAAAAACAATACCATTATCAAGAGATACCGTGTCTCGGCGGATTTCCGAAATGTCACGAAATATCGAGTCAGAAGTCATAAAACGCATACAAAATTCATCTGTATTTGCTTTACAACTGGACGAGACTACCGATATTACTAAAATGTCACAACTAATTATTTACGTTAGGTTTATTTTTAATGAAGATATAACAGAAACGTTTTTATGTTGCAAAAGTTTGGAAGGAAAAACAACTGGAGAAAAAATATTCGAAGTAATAAATGAATATTTTGAAACAAAGTCCCTTACCTGGGCAAACTGTGTTGCGGTTTGTACTGATGGTGCTGCAGCATTAACAGGTTCGAATAAAGGGCTCAGAGGCTTAATTCAGAAGGTGGCGCCTCATATGGTATTTAATCACTGTATGATTCATCGGCAAGCTCTTGTTGCAAAAGATATGGATGAAGAGTTGCACAACATATTACAAGACGCTGTTAGTTCAATTAACTACATTAAATGCAACAGCCACAACAGCCGTCTCTTTTCAATACTTTGCAATGAGATGGGCTCAACGTATGAGAGATTACTGTTACACACCGAAGTCAGATGGCTTTCACGTGGGAAAATACTACGACGGATATTTGATTTGAGAAATGAAGTGTACATGTTTTTAATCGAAAAAAGAAACATAGATTGGCAAGTTATTATATCAATGAAGTTTGGCTAGGGAAGCTGAGCTATTTAGTTGATATTTTCGAAAAACTTAACGACTTAAATTTGAGCTTGCAGGGTGAGAATTCAACTATCATAACTTCAGCCAGTAAAATTCAAGCTTTTAAGAATAAGCTTAGTCTCTGGCAAACTGAACTGAATAAAAACAACACCGACATGTTCCCTTGCTTTAACGATTTTATCAAGGAAAAATAATAGATATATTTACATTTAAAAACATCATTTCCAATCACATTGAAAAGTTAAAGGAAAATTTTTCGAGAAGATTCGAGGATTTTCCTGAAAACGATCTTGGTTGGATTCGTGATCCATTTTCCTTTGACATATGCAGTTCAACTCTTCAAATTAGTGAGAAAGAGCAATTGATAGATCTAATTAGTGATTATACTCTTCGAAATCAATTTAAGACTCAGCCTTGCCAAAAATTTTGGCTATCCGTGGAAAAACAATATCCCGTTTTATGCAAGAATGCCATCAGAGTGTTAATACAATTTGCATCAACGTATTTATGTGAAACTGGATTTAGCAAACTAGTTTCAATAAAAACTAAATACCGCTCGCGTTTAAACCCTGAAGATGATATGCGAATTGCAATTAGCAACATACATCCAAACATCGATGAGATAATTAGAAACTTGCAGCCACATACATCTCATTAAAGGGCAATTTACTGATTTTTGTGTTATACAAAAAGTATTTTCTTAAAATTATAAATAAAATTAATGTGAGTCAGATATGATGATGTGTTTATTCGATGAAAGAAAGAAATGCGCGAAATATACATCGTATTTGTGAACATTTATCTCTAGGGGTCGCAAAAATTTTTTCTCTACAAAAGGGATCGCAGTCGAAAAAAGTTTGCGCACCACTGCTCTAACACATACAATTATTCCACTGGTAATATACTTCTGCCTTACGCTCTACGCATAATTTTGTCCTGTATTCTGAGGATTTCTTCATCCCGTGCCCACTCCTATTCAGGATCTTCTCAGCTCTTTACCATGGGTGCTCTGGATTCCCCCCCCCCAATTAGCGCTCCTTCTTTATTCAGCTGGTGGCTGACAATAGCCACAACAACTACTTCGACTCTGCGAAACATTTGCAAGACCTGCACATAATTTTAGACACTTTTGCAGGACTTCTTCAGTCATGTAGGACGAAGACGATCACTGCTGCTACTTCATCCGCTTTCACCACGCATTTAACTAATTTGCGCAACTTAACATTTACACAGGAACTGACCATTGCCAGACAAGAAGGCCGTATCATAGAGCCCCAGATGCAAGGTCGCTGAACTCAAACAAGCAGAATCTAGCCTTTCTTCCCGCATATTATCGTTCCACCTCCTGCCATACTTCCAGCATTGAAGAAAGCAGCAGAAGTTACGTTCGCAGATGTGACACGGATGAGATAGGAGCTCTCATAGCCTTGATTTACTCAACTAACACAATACCAGCCATTAGAATACGTACTCATCATCATTCCAAGAAAACTAGCCGGACGCCAGATAGTATCAAATCTCTCAACTCGTAGCTAACATCCATCCAATAAAGCTCGTCATTACTATTCAGCAGGTTAGGCCAACTCATTTCGTTGAATTGCTTGTGCACTGCAAAGAAGGAGCACATTTGCAAAAGTTAATAACAGCGATAAAAGGGATACCTCCTCTCATTGAATACATCATACTTAGGGAGCTCTGATCGGAAAGGTCCGCAGTTATAGTCTTCGGAATTCCTACTGAAACAACAGTAAAAGATATCATCCAAGGGTTTAAGAATATTCTCCTAAATTGTCATCAGCCCAC